CTACACCTGTCACTACACTGTCACCTACACCTGTCACCTACCTGTCACCACACCTGTCATCTACACCTGTCATCTACACCTGTCATCTACACCTGTCACCACACCTGTCACCGACACCTGTCACACACACAGGTCATAAGTCTGCACTCTGTGGTTTAGACCTGGTTTAGTCCTGGTTTAGTCCTGGTTTAGTCCTGGTTTAGTTCTGGTTTAGTTCTGGTTTAGTCCTGGTTTAGCCCTGGTTTAGTTCTGGTTTAGTCCTGGTTTAGCCCTGGTTTAGTCCTGGTTTAGTTCTGGTTTAGTTCTGGTTTAGTTCTGGTTTAGTCCTGGTTTAGTCCTGGTTTAGCCCTGGTTTAGTTCTGGTTTAGTCCAGGACCCGGTGTCGGTCTGGGGTCGGGTTTGGGTCTGAGGTGAGTCTCTCCTCAGACAAAAGACGGACCTGAACCTCACTGAGACTCGAGAGCCTCTGAACCAGGACTGAACCAGGACTGAACCAGGACTGAACCGGGTCTGCTCCGGGTCTCGGGGTTTAGGTCTGGGTCTTGGGGTCTCGGGGGTCGGTCCTGGTCCTGGTCCTGGTCTGACCGGTCTCTCGTTGCCAGGGTTACGAGCACACGGCCGAGGACCCGGCGCTGCTCTACAGGGTGGAGTCGATGCCTGGACTCGGTTGGGTCCTGAAGAAAAGTCTCTACAAAGAAGAACTGGAGGCAAAATGGCCGACGCCCGAGAAGGTGAGAAGAAGAAGAAGAAGAGACGTTTATCTGTCCCTCTCATGTCTCCCGTCTCATGTCTCCTGTCTCTCATGTCTCATGTCTCATGTCTCCCGTCTCATGTCTCCTGTCTCATGTCTCTCGTCTCCTGTCTCCTGTCTCTCGTCTCCTGTCTCATGTCTCTCATGTCTCCTGTCTCATGTCTCCTGTCTCGTCTCCCGTCTCCTCTCATGTCTCATGTCTCTCCGTCTCCCGTCTCATGTCTCCTGTCTCATGTCTCCCGTCTCCTGTCTCCTGTCTCTCGTCTCCTGTCTCATGTCTCTCATGTCTCCTGTCTCATGTCTCCTGTCTCTCGTCTCCCGTCTCATGTCTGTCTCATGTCTCCCGTCTCATGTCTCCTGTCTCATGTCTCTCGTCTCATGTCTCCTCTCTGTCTCATGTCTCTGTCTCCTGTCTCCTGTCTCCTGTCTCCTGTCTCATGTCTCCTGTCTCATGTCTCATGTCTCCCGTCTCATGTCTCCCGTCTCATGTCTCCTGTCTCATGTCTCTCTCATGTCTCCTGTCTCATGTCTCTCGTCTCATGTCTCCTGTCTCATGTCGTCTCCTGTGTCCTGTCTCCCGTCTCATGTCTCCTGTGTCCTGTCTCCCGTCTCCTGTCTCATGTCTCCCGTCTCATGTCTCCCGTCTCATGTCTCCTGTCTCATGTCTCCTGTCTCATGTCTCCTGTCTCATGTCTCCCGTCTCATGTCTCCCGTCTCCTGTCTCTCGTCTCATGTCTCCTGTCTCCTGTCTCCCGTCTCATGTCTCCCGTCTCCTGTCTCATGTCTCCCGTCTCATGTCTCCTGTCTCATGTCTCCGTCTCATGTCTCCTCGTCTCATGTCTCTCATGTCTCATGTCTCATGTCTCCTGTCTCATGTCTCCCATGTCTCCTGTCTCTGTCTCCTGTCTCCTGTCTCCTGTCTCATGTCTCCTGTCTCCGTCTCATGTCTCCTGTCTCATGTCTCCCGTCTCCTGTCTCCTGTCTCCTGTCTCCTGTCTCATGTCTCTGTCTCATGTCTCCTGTCTCCTGTCTCATGTTCATGTCTCCCGTCTCATGTCTCATGTCTCCCGTCTCCCGTCTCCTGTCTCATGTCTCTCGTCTCATGTCTCCCGTCTCATGTCTCCCGTCTCCCGTCTCATGTCTCCTCTCCTGTCTCTCGTCTCATGTCTCCTGTCTCCTGTCTCATGTCTCCTGTCTCCTGTCTCTCGTCTCCCTGTCTCATGTCTCATGTCTCCCGTCTCATGTCTCCCGTCTCATGTCTCCTGTCTCCTCCGTCTCATGTCTCCCGTCTCATGTCTCCTGTCTCATGTCTCTCTCATGTCTCCTGTCTCATGTCTCCTGTCTCTCGTCTCCCGTCTCATGTCTCATGTCTCCCGTCTCCTGTCTCATGTCTCTCGTCTCATGTCTCCTGTCTCATGTCTCCTGTCTCTCGTCTCCCGTCTCATGTCTCCTGTCTCTCGTCTCCCGTCTCCTGATGTCTCATGTCTCCCGTCTCCCGTCTCATGTCTCTGTCTCATGTCTCGTCTCCTGTCTCATGTCTCCTGTCTCTCGTCTCATGTCTCTCATGTCTCATGTCTCGTCTCATGTCTCCCTGTCTCATGTCTCTCTCATGTCTCATGTCTCCTGTCTCCTGTCTCCTGTCTCCTCATGTCTCCTGTCTCTCTCGTCTCATGATGACGAGAGACAGTCATGAGACATGTCTCTCGTCTCATGTCTCCTGTTTCCTGTCTTCCTGTCTCTCTGTCTCATCCTCGTCTCCTGTCTCATGTCTCCTGTCTCATGTCTCCTGTCTCTGTCTCATGTCTCATGTCTCCTCGTCTCCCGTCTCATGTCTCATGTCTCATGTCTCTGTCTCATGTCTCCTCGTCTCATGTCTCATGTCTCCTGTCTCCTGTCTCTATGTCTCATGTCTCCTCTCATGTCTCCCGTCTCATGTCTCTCGTCTCTCATGTCTCCTCGTCTCTCGTCTCAGTCTCCGTCTCATGTCTCATGTCTCCCGTCTCATGTCTCATGTCTCTGTCTCATGTCTCTCTGTCTCCTGTCTCCTGTCTCCCGTCTCATGTCTCCCGTCTCCCGTCTCATGTCTCTCGTCTCCCGTCTCATGTCTCATGTCTCCTGTCTCATGTCTCTCGTCTCATGTCTCATGTCTCCTGTCTCTCGTCTCCCGTCTCATGTCTCTCATGTCTCTCGTCTCATGTCTCCTGTCTCCTGTCTCATGTCTCCTGTCTCTCGTCTCATGAGACGAGAGACAGGAGACGAGAGACATGAGACATGTCTCTCGTCTCATGTCTCCTGTTTCCTGTTTCCTGTTTCCTGTTCCTGTCTCCTGTCTCCTGTCTCCTGTCTCCTGTCTCATGTCTCATGTCTCTCGTCTCATGTCTCTCGTCTCATGTCTCATGTCTCATGTCTCATGTCTCTCGTCTCTCGTCTCATGTCTCTCGTCTCATGTCGTCTCATGTCTCTCGTCTCATGTCTCTCGTCTCATGTCTCTCGTCTCATGTCTCATGTCTCTCGTCTCTCGTCTCATGTCTCTCTCGTCTCATGTCTCATGTCTCTGTCTCTCTCTGTCTCTGTCTCTCTCATGTCTCATGTCTCCTGTCTCATGTCTCATCTCCTGTCTCCTGTCTCTTGTCTCATGTCTCTCGTCTCTCGTCTCATGTCTCATGTCTCATGTCTCTCGTCTCATGTCTCTCGTCTCTCGTCTCTGTCTCTCTGTCTCTCGTCTCATGTCCATGTCTCATGTCTCCTGTCTCATGTCTGTCTCCTGTCTCAAGTCCTGTCTCATGTCTCATGTCTCATGTCTCTCGTCTCATGTCTCCTGTCTCTCGTCTCTGTTTCATGTTCTCCTGTCTGTCTCCTGTCTCATGTCTCATGAGACATGTCTCTCGTCTCATGTCTCATGTCTCTTGTCTCATGTCTCTCGTCTCCTGTCTCTTGTCTCATGTCTCCCGTCTCTCGTCTCATGTCTCCTGTCTCTTGTCTCTCGTCTCCTGTTTCATGTCTCATGTCTCCTGTCTCATGTCTGTCTCCTGTCTCAAGTCTGTCTCATGTCTCATGTCTCTCGTCTCATGTCTCCTGTCTCATGTCTCCTGTCTCTCGTCTCATGTTTCATGTCTCCTGTCTGTCTCCTGTCTCATGTCTGTCGTCTCTTGTCTCATGAGACATGAGACATGTCTCTCGTCTCATGTCTCATGTCTCTTGTCTCTTGTCTCATGTCTCCTGTCTCCTGTCTCCCGTCTCATGTCTCCTGTCTATCTTGTCTCTCGTCTCATGTCTCATGTCTCTGTCTCTCTCATGTCTCATTCTCATGTCTCCTGTCTTCTGTCTCCGTCTCATGTCTCATGTCTCATGTCTCTTGTCTCTTGTCTCTTGTCTCTTGTCTCTGTTCATGTCATGTCTCTCGTCTCATTCTGTCTCCTGTTCATGTCTCATTCTCATGTCTCATGTCTGTCTCAGTCTGTCTCATGTCTCATGTCTCATGTCTCATGTCTCTTGTCTCTTGTCTCTTGTCTCTTGTCTCTTGTCTCTCGTCTCATGTCTCATGTCTCATGTCTCTCGTCTCATGTCTCATGTCTCATGTCTCATGTCTCATGTCTCATGTCTCTTGTCTCTTGTTTCCTTTCTCCGTCTCATGTCTCTCGTCTCCTCAGTCTCATGTCTCATGTCTCATGTCTCCTGTCTCTCGTCTCATGTCTCTCGTCTCCTGTTTCATGTCTCATGTCTCCTGTCTCATGTCTGTCTCCTGTCTCAAGTCTGTCTCATGTCTCAGTCTCATGTCTCTTGTCTTTGTCTCCTGTTCCTGTCTCCTGTCCCTGTCTCCTGTCTCCTGTCTCCTTCTCTGTCTCTTGTCTCTTGTCTCTTGTCTCTTTCTCCTGTTTCCTGTCTCCTCATGTCTCTCGTCTCATGTCTCTCGTCTCCTGTTTCATGTCTGTCTCATGTCTCATGTCTCTCGTCTCATGTCTCCTGTCTCTCGTCTCATGTCTCTCGTCTCCTGTTTCATGTCTCCTGTCTCATGTCTGTCTCCTGTCTCATGTCTCCCGTCTCCCGTCTCCGTCTCTCTCATTCTCTCATGTCTCTCTGTCTATGTCTCTCGTCTGTCTCTCATCTCATGTCTCCCGTCTCCTGTTCCTGTCTCATGTCTCTCGTTCCTGTCTCTCGTCCCCTCTCCTCTTGTCTCCTGTTCTCCTGTCTCCCGTCTCCTGTCTCCTGTCTCCTGTCTCATGTCTCTCGTCCCTCGTCCCTCTGCAGCTGTGGGACTGGGACATGTGGCTGCGGATGCCGGAGCAGAGACGAGGACGTGAGTGTGTGATTCCCGACGTCTCCAGGACCTACCACTTTGGAATCATCGGACTCAACATGAACGGATACTTCCACGTGAGTCCAAGTCCTGGTCTAGTCCTAGTCCTGGTCCGGTCCTGTCCTGGTCCTGGTCTAGTCCTGGTCCTAGTCCAGTCCTGGTCCTGGTCCTGTTTCAGTCCTGGTCCTGGTCTAGTCCTGGTCTAGTCCTGTTTCAGTCCTGGTCCAGGTCCTGGTCCTGGTCCTGTTTCAGTCCTGGTCTGGTTCTGTGTTTCAGGAGGTTTATTTTAAGAAACATAAGTTGAACACTGTTCCTCTGGTGGATCTGAGAGACGTGGACCTGCTGAAGAAAGACGAGTACGAGACTGAAGTCCAGAGACTGCTCCGGTCAGTGCACCTGTCTGCACCTGTCTGCACCTGTCTCTGCACCTGTCTGCACCTGTCTGCACCCTGTCTCTGCTCCTGCACCTGTCTCTGCTCCTCTCTGCACCTGTCTGCTCCGTCTCTGCCTGTCTCTGTCTCTGCACCTGTCTGCACCTGTCTGCTCCTGTCTCTGCACCTGCTGCCTCCTGTCTCTGCACCTGTCTGCTGCACCTGTCTCTGCACCTGTCTCTGCTTCCTGCACCTCTGCTCCTGTCTCTGCACCTGTCTCTGCTCCGGTCAGTGCACCTGTCTGCACCTGTCTGCTCCTGTCTGTTCCTGTCCCCTGCACCTGTCTCTGCACCTGTCTCTGCACCTGTCTCTGCTCCTGTCTCTGCACCTGTCTGCTCCTGTCTCTGCTCCTGTCTCTGCACCTGTCTGCACCTGTCTCTGCTCCTGTCTCTGCACCTGTCTGCTCCTGTCTCTGCTCCTGTCTGTTCCTGTCTCTGCACCTGTCTCTGCACCTGTCTGCTCCTGTCTCTGCACCTGTCTGATCTTGTCTGTAGTACTTGTAGTAGTACTTGTAGTAGTATTTGTAGTAGTATTTGGAGTATTTGTACTTTCAGAGAGGCGGAGGTGTTGAATCACTCGTCTGTAGTACTTGTAGTAGTACTTGGAGTAGTATTTGGAGTATTTGTACTTTCAGAGAGGCGGAGGTGTTGAATCACTCGTCTGTAGTACTTGTAGTAGTACTTGTAGTAGTACTTGTAGTAGTACTTGGAGTATTTGTACTTTCAGAGAGGCGGAGGTGTTGAATCACTCGTCTGTAGTACTTGTAGTAGTACTTGTAGTAGTACTTGTAGTAGTACTTGTAGTAGTATTTGGAGTATTTGTACTTTCAGAGAGGCGGAGGTGTTGAATCACTCGTCTGTAGTACTTGTAGTAGTACTTGGAGTAGTATTTGGAGTAGTATTTGGAGTATTTGTACTTGCAGAGAGGCGGAGGTGTTGAATCACTCGTCTGTAGTACTTGTAGTAGTACTTGTAGTAGTACTTGTAGTAGTATTTGGAGTATTTGTACTTTCAGAGAGGCGGAGGTGTTGAATCACTCGTCTGTAGTACTTGTAGTAGTACTTGTAGTAGTATTTGGAGTAGTATTTGGAGTATTTGTACTTTCAGAGAGGCGGAGGTGTTGAATCACTCGTCTGTAGTACTTGTAGTAGTACTTGTAGTAGTACTTGTAGTAGTATTTGGAGTATTTGTACTTTCAGAGAGGCGGAGGTGTTTGAATCACTCGTCTTGTAGTACTTGTAGTAGTACTTGTAGTAAGTATTGTAGTAGTTTGTAGTAAGTTGGAGTATTTGTACTTTTTCAGAGAGGGCGGAGGTGTTGAATCACTCGTCTGTAGACTTGTAGTAGTACTTGTAGTAGTATTTGAGTAGTATTGTACTTTCAGTAGTAGTACTTGTAGTATGTGTGTAGTATGAGTTTTTGGAGTATTTGTACTTTCAGAGAGGCGGAGGTGTTGAATCACTCGTCTGTAGTACTTGTAGTAGTACTTGTAGTAGTACTTGTAGTAGTACTTGTAGTAGTATTTGGAGTATTTGTACTTTCAGAGAGGCGGAGGTGTTGAATCACTCGTCTGTAGTACTTGTAGTAGTACTTGGAGTAGTATTTGGAGTAGTATTTGGAGTATTTGTACTTTCAGAGAGGCGGAGGTGTTGAATCACTCGTCTGTAGTACTTGTAGTAGTACTTGTAGTAGTACTTGTAGTAGTATTTGGAGTATTTGTACTTTCAGAGAGGCGGAGGTGTTGAATCACTCGTCTGTAGTACTTGTAGTAGTACTTGTAGTAGTATTTGGAGTAGTATTGTATTTGTACTTTCAGAGAGGCGGAGGTGTTGAATCACTCGTCTGTAGTACTTGTAGTAGTAGTAGGTAGTAGTCTTTGAGTACTTGTAGTAGTATTTAGTATTTGAGTATTTGTACTTTCAGAGAGGCGGAGGTGTTGAATCACTCGTCTGTAGTACTTGTAGTACTTGTAGTAGTACTGTAGTAGTACTTGTAGTAGTATTTGGAGTATTTGTACTTTCAGAGAGCGGAGGTGTTGAATCACTCGTCTGTAGTACTGTAGTAGTAGTGTAGTATTTCAGAGAGCGGAGTGTTCACTCGTCTGTATGTAGTACTTGTAGTAGTATTTGGAGTATTTGTACTTTCAGAGAGGCGGAGGTGTTGAATCACTCGTTGGATCCGTGTGATGATTCGTTTGTTCCCGACACCGAAGGAAAAACGTTCGTGATGTTCATCAGGATGGAGACGGAGACGGACACAGAGACCTGGACCGAGCTCGCCAAGGTACAAGTACTACTACTACTACTACTACTACTACTACAATACTACTACAACACCGAGACCTGGACCGAGCTCGCCAAGGTACAAGTACTACTACTACTACTACTACTACTACTACTACTACTACTACTACTACTACTACTACAAATACTACTACTACAACACAGAGACCTGGACCGAGCTCGCCAAGGTACAAGTACTACTACTACTACTACTACAAATACTACTACTACAACACAGAGACCTGGACCGAGCTCGCCAAGGTACAAGTACTACTACTACTACTACTACAAATACTACTACTACAACACCGAGACCTGGACCGAGCTCGCCAAGGTACAAGTACTACTACTACTACTACTACAAATACTACTACTACTACTACTACAACACCGAGACCTGGACCGAGCTCGCCAAGGTACAAGTACTACTACTACTACTACTACTACTACTACTACTACTACTACTACTACTACTACTACTACTACTACAACACCGAGACCTGGACCGAGCTCGCCAAGGTACTACTACTACTACTACTACTACTACTACTACTACTACTACTACTACTACTACTACTACTACAACACCGAGACCTGGACCGAGCTCGCCAAGGTACAAGTACTACTACTACTACTACTACTACAAATACTACTACTACTACAACACAGAGACCTGGACCGAGCTCGCCAAGGTACAAGTACTACTACTACTACTACTACTACTACAAATACTACTACTACTACTACTACTACAACACCGAGACCTGGACCGAGCTCGCCAAGGTACAAGTACTACTACTACTACTACTACAAATACTACTACTACAACACCGAGACCTGGACCGAGCTCGCCAAGGTACAAGTACTACTACTACTACTACTACAAATACTACTACTACAACACAGAGACCTGGACCGAGCTCGCCAAGGTACAAGTACTACTACTACTACTACTACTACAAATACTACTACTACAACACCGAGACCTGGACCGAGCTCGCCAAGGTACACACTACTACTACTACTACTACTACTACTACTACTACTACTACTACTACTACTACTACTACTACTACTACTACAACACCGAGACCTGGACCGAGCTCGCCAAGGTACAAGTACTACTACTACTACTACTACTACAAATACTACTACTACAACACCGAGACCTGGACCGAGCTCGCCAAGGTACAAGTACTACTACTACTACTACTACAAATACTACTACTACAACACCGAGACCTGGACCGAGCTCGCCAAGGTACAAGTACTACTACTACTACTACTACAAATACTACTACTACAACACCGAGACCTGGACCGAGCTCGCCAAGGTACAAGTACTACTACTACTACTACTACTACTACTACTACAATACTACTACTACTACTACTACTACTACAACTACTACTACTACTACTACTACTACTACTACTACTACTACTACAACACAGAGACCTGGACCGAGCTCGCCAAGGTACAAGTACTACTACTACTACTACTACTACTACAAATACTACTACTACTACTACTACTACTACTACAACACAGAGACCTGGACCGAGCTCGCCAAGGTACAAGTACTACTACTACTACTACTACTACTACAAATACTACTACTACTACTACTACAAATACTACTACTACTACAACACAGAGACCTGGACCGAGCTCGCCAAGGTACAAGTACTACTACTACTACTACTACTACTACTACTACTACTACTACTACTACTACTACTACTACTACAAATACTACTACTACAACACAGAGACCTGGACCGAGCTCGCCAAGGTACAAGTACTACTACTACTACTACTACTACTACTACTACTACTACTACTACTACTACAACTACTACGAGACCTGGACCGACTCGCCAAGGTACAAATACTACTACTACTACTACTACTACTACTACTACTACTACTACTACTACTACTACTACTACAACACCGAGACCTGGACCCAACTCGCCAAGGTACAAGTACTACTACTACTACTACTACTACTACAACACCGAGACCTGGACCGAGCTCGCTAAGGTACTAGTACTACTACAAGTACTACTACAAGTACTACAAATACCACTGCAAATACTACTATTACTACCATTACTACTGCTACTGCAAATAAAATAAAATAGTGTTGTGTAATGTGTTGTTCTGATCTTCCTCCTCCTCCTCTTCTTCTACTTCCTCCTGGTCCCGGTCCTGGTCTCGGTCCTGGTCTTGGTCCTGGTCCCGGTCCTGGTCTCGGTCCTGGTCCTGGTCTCAGTGTCTTCACGTGTGGGACCTGGACGTTCGTGGGAACCATCGTGGGCTCTGGAGACTCTTCAGAAAGAAGAACCACATCCTGGTGGTGGCCACGCCCCTCTCCCCCTACAGGTCAATACTACTACTACAACTACTACATGTACTACATGTACTACTATACTACTACTACTACTACTACTACTACTACTACAAGTACCTCTACAAGTACTTCTACAAATTCTACACGACTGATTGTTTGTTTTATTTGTGTTCAGTTGGAGGAAACCGTCGTCTGTGACGCCGATTCACCTGGAGCCTCCACCAAAAGAAGAACCAGCCGCCGTGGAGCAGCTGTAAACCCTGCAGCTGTTCGGACTCTGACCCACAGCTGCAGCTGTTCAGACTCTGACCCTGCAGCTGTTCAGACTCGTCGCTGCTCCTGTGGCTCTTGTATGAAAAGACTAATCTGCTTTTTAACACTCGAAACACCACAGACCCTGCAGCTGTTCAGACCCTGCAGCTGTTCTCATTGGTCCTGTGTCTCTGGAGTCACTTTTCTTTTAAAAAACGTCTCAACATTTCAGTATCGACACTAAAACACCAAAGAGAAATTCATTTTTGTCTCTGGACAAAAGTTTTTAATCGATTTGATTTTTGTGTGAAGCTTCATCAGGACCTGAACGATTCTGCTGATCTGCCTCAGGTCACACGTCAACACACTCGACACACACTCGACACACACTCGACACACACTCGACACACACTCGACACACGTGTGTGTGTCTGTGTGTGTCAGAGGAGTGTCAGTGCTGTGAGCGCCCCCTTCAGGCAGATTTAAGGCGGCGTCCAGCAGCTGAAGAACTGAAGACGGATCTGGGACGAGCTGAGAAACAGATTCAATCAAAAACTTTTGTCCAGAGACAGAATTAAATTTCTCTGGATCCTGAACGACTGAAGGATTCACGAATATCAACACTAAAGCAGAACTCACCGGTCCAGACCCGGCCCTGACCCGGTTTACGAAAAAATCCCTGACTTCTGTGTTCAAACATTTTTAGATTCTAAAACTCAAATCAGAGTTTATTTATTTGTTTATATGTTTGTTTTTTTTTTGTAAAATGTAAAAATGGCTCCGATCATTTTTCAGACTGAATTTAGTTTTTGTTGCTTTTTGTTTGAGAAACTGTAAAAGACTCTGAGGCCTTACAGGTGTCCAGATCAGACCTGCTGCTGTTCGTCCCACTGCTCCCGTTCAAAACAGACCCACCCACTATAGACCGAGTCTAGACCTGGTCTAGACCCGGTCCCGGTGAAGTTTGAGTTTTACACTGATGGAGAGAGTTTGTTGTTTGAAGAATTTTTATGTAGTTTTTAATTTTGTGAAAATAAAACTTTTTTATACTCAGTGTTTCTCTGTGCGACAGGTGCTCTCCCTGTGCGACAGGTGCTCTCCCTGTGCGACAGGTGCGGTCCCGTCCTGTGGTCTGGTTGTGGGAGGAAGCTGAGCTCTGGAGGGAGAGGTGTTTTGTTTATGTCCTTCGTGGTTCTCGGGGTTAAAGCTTTTTTTTAAGACCTGATACAAACTACTACAAAAATATACGAGTACTATTACTACTCCTACTACTTTTACTACTTCTTTATTGCTGTTACTACAGAACAAAAAAAACTGATGTGACTTGAAAGATTTTTATTGAATTTAAAATCATAATTATTTCACACTTTCATATTTAATGTCAGACTTTCTCCTCCGCAGCTTCACCTTTGTGTTTTTGAGCTGCTCCTCGTTTAAACTGAAAACCGACAGTTTCATAAAGAATAATTATAACTTTTATGTCGTTTACATTTCCTGAAGTTTAAATGATTCAGTAAAATATTTGATTAAACTCGCTGCACACAGTCCGACCCCGCGAGAGTCTGACACACTGATCTACCACAGAAAACAAGAGCAAAGAAACACGAGGCTGTTTACAGAGACATGGACCTTTCAGCTGCTCATCTCATCCAGGTGACAGAAAAGAAACATGGAGACGACCAGAGCAGCGACCTGAGAGCACAAAAACACAACTGAGTGTGTGTCTGTGTGTGTGTGTGTATATGTGTATGTGTGTATAAAGTACACAAAGTACACATAGTGTGTACTTTCTACACTTGTACCTCCAGAGCTGTGACTCCGGCGACGACTCCGCCCACGATGTTTGTGTTTTTCACCAGAGACTCGAGGATTTGTGTGAAACATCCCTAAAGAAAAAAACATGCAGCTGTTCACTTCAATATGATCAATTTACTCTGTGAGTGTTACTGAGGAGTATTTACTCTGTGAGTGTTACTGAGGAGTATTTACTCTGTGAGTGTTACAGAGGAGTATTTACTCTGTGAGTGTTACAGAGGAGTATTTACTCTGTGAGTGTTACAGGAGTATTTACTCTGTGAGTGTTACAGAGGAGTATTTACTCTGTGAGTGTTACAGAGGAGTATTTACTCTGTGAGTGTTACAGAGGAGTATTTACTCTGTGAGTGTTACAGAGTATTTACTCTGTATTTACTCTGTGAGTGTTACAGAGGAGTATTTACTCTGTGAGTGTTACAGAGGAGTATTTACTCTGTGAGTGTTACAGAGGAGTATTTACTCTGTGAGTGTTACAGAGGAGTATTTACTCTGTGAGTGTTACAGAGGAGTATTTACTCTGTGAGTGTTACAGAGGAGTATTTACTCTGTGAGTGTTACAGAGGAGTATTTACTCTGTGAGTGTTACAGAGGAGTATTTACTCTGTGAGTGTTACAGAGGAGTATTTACTCTGTGAGTGTTACAGAGGAGTATTTACTCTGTGAGTGTTACAGAGGAGTATTTACTCTGTGAGTGTTACAGAGGAGTATTTACTCTGTGAGTGTTACAGAGGAGTATTTACTCTGTGAGTGTTACAGAGGAGTATTTACTCTGTGAGTGTTACAGGAGTATTTACTCTGTGTTACTGAGGAGTATTTACTCTGTGAGTGTTACTGTAACGTGTCACATATTCAGATCTTCATGTTCCTTACTCTGTTTTGAACATGCAGCTGTTACCTGCACTGCACTGAGCTCCGCCTCCTCGACGCTGCAGGGCGCGGAGCTCTGTGGTTCGTAGGCGGAGCTTCGTGGTTCGTAGGCGGAGCTTCGTGGTTCGTAGGCGGAGCTTCGTGGTTCGTAGGCGGAGCTCTGGTTCCTGCAGCAGTTCAGGGGGAAATGACCCTGAGTCTCCACGAACTTTGACCCCACGAAATCTCTGAAGTCGACGAAACCACAACAAGAAAACTGAAACACACAAACATGAACACACACTGTGTGTCAGGTGCGGTCCAGTGTGTGTCAGGTGCGGTCCAGTGTGTGTCAGGTGCGGTCCAGTGTGTGTCAGGTGCGGTCAGTGTGTGTCAGGTGCGGTCCAGTGTGTGTCAGGTGCGGTCCAGTGTGTGTCAGGTGCGGTCCAGTGTGTGTCAGGTGTGGTCCAGTGTGTGTCAGGTGCGGTCCAGTGTGTGTCAGGTGCGGTCCAGTGTGTGTCAGGTGCGGTTCAGTGTGTGTCAGGTGCGGTCCAGTGTGTGTCAGGTGCGGTCCTGCGCGTGTACCTGGTTCATGGTTCGGGTCCAGGTCTCTGTGATCGTCGAGTCGGAGCCAAAATCTTTCTGAAGAACTCGAGTCGCCCAAGAACCAAGGATCCTCTCAGCCTGAAGCACCAGGTCATACACACCAGGTCACACACACACCAGGTCACACACACACACCATGTCACACACACACACACCATGTCACACACACACACACACACCAGGTCACACACAAGGTCACACACACACCAGGTCACACACCAGGTCACACACACACACCAGGTCACACACCAGGTCACACACCAGGTCACACACCACACACACACACACACCAGGTCATACACACACACCAGGTCACACACCAAGTCACACACACTCCAGGTCACACACACTCCAGGTCACACACACACACCAGGTCACACACACCAGGTCACACACACCAGGTCACACACACCAAGTCACACACACCAAGTCACACACACCAGGTCACACACATCAGGTCACACACACACATCAGGTCACACACACACACCTGGTCACACACACAAACCTTTTTTTCAAAAAATAATAAAAAATAAAATGTTGAGTCAGACTCACGAAGGAGGAGTAGGCGAAAACCACCACGACCACCGACACCTCAGCGATGAAGATGATGAGGACCACACAGAAGAACTGGACCAGAACCATCAGGAGAACCACGAGAACCATCAGGAGAACCACAGGAGAACCACGAGAACCATCAGGAGAACCACGAGAACCATCAGGAGAACCACGAGAACCATCAGGAGAACCACAAGAATCATCAGAGAACCATCAGGAGAACCACGAGAACCATCAGGAGAACCACAAGAAACATCAGGAGAACCACAAGAAACATCAGGAGAACCACAAGAAACATCAGGAGAACCACGAGAACCATGAACAACTTCTTTTGTTTTTCTCTTTTTTTGCCTCAGTATTGTGTCTTTTTTTTCTCCAGAACCTTCAGAAAACCCACAGACCCAGTGTCAGGTGCAGTGTGTCAGGTGCAGTGTGTCAGGTGCAGTGTGTCAGGTGCAGTGTGTCAGGTGCAGTGTGTCAGGTGCAGTGTGTGTCAGGTGCAGTGTGTCAGGTGCAGTGTGTGTCAGGTGCAGTGTGTCAGGTGCAGTGTGTCAGGTGCAGTGTGTCAGTCAGTGTGTGTCAGTGTGTGTCAGGTGCAGTGTGTGTCAGGTGCAGTGTGTGTCAGGTGCAGTGTGTCAGGTGCAGTGTGTGTCAGGTGCAGTGTGTCAGGTGCAGTGTGTGTCAGGTGCAGTGTGTGTCAGGTGCAGTGTGTGTCAGGTGTGTGTCAGGTGTGTGTCAGTGTGTGTCAGTGTGTCAGTGCAGTGTGTCAGGTGCAGTGTGTGTCAGGTGCAGTGTGTCAGGTGCAGTGTGTCAGTGCAGTGTGTGTCAGGTGCAGTGTGTGTCAGGTGCAGTGTGTGTCAGGTGCAGTGTGTGTCAGGTGCAGTGTGTGTCAGGTGCAGTGTGTGTCAGGTGCAGTGTGTGTCAGGTGCAGTGTGTGTCAGGTGCAGTGTGTCAGGTGCTCTCACCAGCAGGATCAGGCTCTTGCTGGGTCTGTGAGGTCCACAGACCCCGAGGAACCCGAGGCCGAGGAGCACGAGGCCCTGAGCCGAGCAGAAGAACCCGACGTTCACAGACGAAGCTCCAGGAGACGAGAAGATCCCCAAGACCCTCAAGAACCAAAACCCGTCCACAGAAACCCACAGGCCCAAGACCAACAGGGCCGCCCCGCCCACCTGACGGGACAAGACCGAGACTGAGACTGGACCAGGACCGGGACTAGGACCAGGACCAGGACCAGGACCAAAACAAGACCAGACCTGCACCAGGACCAGACCAGGACCAGGTCCGGGACCAGGACCAGGACCAGGACCGAAACAAGACCAGACCTGAACCAGGGGCCTCATTTATAAAAACTGCGCAGATGTTGTTGTAAGTTCCTGTGTTCGTCTGTAGCTACGACAGTCGTGCGCCGCAAACTCCATATTTAGAAAACCCACCGCACGAACCAAACCTGACCACGCCCCCTCACACCTCCACCTCACCATAAAAGGACAGACCACGCCCCCTCACACCTCCACCTCACCATAAAAGGACAGACCACGCCCCCACACCTCCACCTCACCATAAAGGACAGACCACGCCCCCTCACACCTCCACCTCACCATAAAAGGACAGACCACGCCCCCTCACACCTCCACCTCACCATAAAAGGACAGACCACGCCCCCTCACACCTCCACCTCACCATAAAAGGAGCAGGTAAAGTGACTGGTGAATGAGATTTCCCTAAACATGAGTCGATAATCAGACACGCGGGACAGAGGAGGAGGCTCCACGCAGCATCACGTGATCACGACAAACACTTAAACAAGTTTAATAAATAAACACAAAACTAAAAGTGACAACGACTCATCTGTTCATTTAATCATATTTCATCATATTACGGCAGCACATCTTTGCAGTAAAGTCAGTGTGTTTCTCGCTGTTTCAAGAGTTTTATTTTTATATTTTTAAGTCTGTCTATGATGTGTGTGTGGACTGGGCCTGTATATTTATGCATATACACATAGATACACGCTGATCTGAATGGTCAAATTATGAGCGCGTGCGAGAGATTCAGATGCCCTCCCCTGGAGAGGGAAAGGAGCGAGGGAAGGACACGAGGACACAGATTTAACATGAAACACATCAGATACAGATGTTATTCTGCCAATAAAAGTCCACACCAAACATCCAAACTGCTGAACCTGTGAGTGTGTGTCTGACCTCTGACCTCTGTGAGTGTGAGCGCGGGTCTGTGAGTGTGGGTCTGTGTGTGTGGGTCTGTGTGTGTGGGTCTGTGTGTGTGGGTCTGTGTGTGTGGGTCTGTGAGTGTGGGTCTGTGTGTGTGGGTCTGTGAGTGTGGGTCTGTGTGTGTGGGTCTGTGTGTGTGGGTCTGTGAGTGTGGGTCTGTGTGTGGGTCTGTGGTGTGTGGTCTGTGTGTCTGTGTGTGTCTGTGAGTGCGGGTCTGTGTGTGTGGGTCTGTGTGTGGGTCTGTGTGTGTGGGTCTGTGTGTGTGGGTCTGTGTGTGTGGGTCTGTGTGTGTGGGTCTGTGTCATGTGCTCAGTTCCACATTACACAAACATGTAGAGAAGATTTTGGTTGACGTCAGGTTCGGACAGTGGGCTTTGTGTTGTCCACAGACTCGGGTCGCAGACTCGGGTCGCAGACTCGGGTCGCAGACTCGGGTCGCAGACTCGGGTCACAGACTCGGGTCACAGACTCGGGTCACAGACTCAGGTCACTCTGGCGCTCGGTGCGTAAAGACTAAAGTAAAAGTGTTAAAGTTTTGTTCATTAAACAAAAGTCTGGCTCCTTCTGTGTCCGAGGGAAGAGTTTAGTCTCAGGTCGGGTCATTATTTCGTCCTCTGTGTTGGTCAGTCTGTGTTTTATAAAGTCTGTGGTCTTGGTGTGGACTGTGGTTGATCCTGAGCTGCATCAGGATCGTGGTCCGCGCTCGTACACGAGTTTAAATGTTTAATATTTTAGAGAATAATGAGTGGAATAAACAGCCCTTCTCTGTGTTTTGTTGAACCAAACACTTAAATGCACAAATCTGAAGGTCATTCTTTTATATACGTGGATTTTCTGATCAAACTCTTCCTCAAACTCTGTTCACTTCTGCTTCTCTCCACGAGTGTCACTTTTTCCCGTGTCTCCAGACTTTGTGTAGAGTTTACAGGACCAGAGTTGGTGTAGAGTTAAACAAAGAGCCACGACTTAGTCGAGGTTCATAAATCCCACAGTTGGTGTAGGAAGCGACGACGCACGGATTTTTGCATAAGCAAGATTTATAAATGAGGCCCCAGGACTGAACCAGGACTAGACCAGAACCAGACCAGGACTTTAAACACAGTCCTGTTCCAGTCCTAGTTCAGTCCTGATCAAATCCCAGTCTAGTCCTAGTTCAGTCCTGTTTTACTCCTGTTTCAGTCCCGGTCTAGTCCCGGTCTGGTCCCGGTCCAGGTCCAGGTCCTGGACTCACCGACAGGAGGAGGCTGAACAGAAACATCGTGACTTTGACAAACGTGAAGCGTCTCATCCCCAAACCTGAAACAAACAAAACTTTTTATTAATTTTATTTATGAATTTTTATTTTGGTCGTTAATATTTTTAAAATTATTTTGGAAGATTTATTTATTTTACTTTTATTTATTTTATTCTCAGTTCGTGTGATTTTATGGTCGAGTTTTGGAGCTCGATCTTCTGAAGTTCCTCTGAGTTTAGAAAAAAGAAAAACAAACAAATGTCAAAGAAACAAACAGAAAAACAGATTTTTATTTTTCAGCCAAAAATCGTCCAAATCATTTGTGAAAGTTTTAAGTTTAATGTTGAATTTAGAAAAACACGTCTCAGAAGTTTTTGAGAAATCCAGTGTGTAGACCAGGTTCAGACCAGGTTCAGTCCAGGTCCAGTCTAGGTCCAGTCCAGGTCCGGTCTTGAGTCTTACCTGAGTCGGAGCCGAGTTCATCTGAAGTGACTCCAGAACAAACCTGGACAGGTGAGAGGAGGGGGCGGGGCCTGTGCAGGTGAGGGGGCGGGGCCTGTGCAGGTGAGGGGGCGGGGCCTGCAGGTGAGGGGGCGGGGCCTGTGCGAGAAGTTTGGACAGGGACCTTTCAGCTGTTCAGTGCACAGCCTGACAGGTGCAGGACAGGAGCCTGACAGGTGCAGAATGAGGTGTGTCGCTGTCACAGTCGGAGCAGATTGTGTCAGATGCCCTCCCGTTTCCCTGTTGCTCTTTTCATGAGAAGAAAAGTTGTTAGTTCTGAAGTTTGTTCTGAAGTTGAAATAAAAACACGATTCATGAATTTAATTAAATAAAACTTTTTTATTCAGATTCAAAAACGATAAAACTTCAACGACAAAAAACATTTCACGTAAAACAGACGAGACAAAATCTCCAAACAAGTTTAAAAAAAAACAACTACAAAAACGGACCAAGACCAGGACCAAGGACCAAGACCAGGACCAAGGACCAAGACCAGGACCCAGTGACAGATTTCCAGATCCTTTTAAGTCTTGTTCATGCTCAAAACTCAAGTCGACCCACTGGTCCTGGTCCTGGTCCAACCTGAACACATACAGGACGTCATCTTGGTCCTGGTCATGGTCCTGGTCCTGGTCCTGGTCCTGGTCTCAGTCGGTCTTGAGTGCGTACAGGACGTCGTCTTGGCTCATGTTGAGTCGGACTCGGAGCTGCAGGTCGGTTTGTGCGTGGTCCTGGTCTCGGTCCTGGTCTCGGTCCTGGTCTCGGTCCTGGTCTCGGTCCTGGTCTCGGTCCTCGGTCCTGGTCTCGGTCTCAGTCGGTCTTGAGTGCGTACAGGACGTCGTCTTGGCTCACGTTGAGTCGGACTCGGAGCTGCAGGTCGGTTCGTGCGTCGTCGAGGAGGAGGAGCCTCGACGCCCCGAGACGTAAACACACAGACAGAGACTCAGACACGAGGGGCGGAGCCAAACCCTCCACACGACACAGCGCCACCTGCTGGACAAACACCTGAAACACACACAAACATCAACACACACACACACACAACACACACACACACACACACACACACACACACACACACACACACACAACACACATCCACACGACACAGCGCCACCTGAAACACACGTCAACCACTCTGCCAGCACACACACCGACCAATCACAGCCCATGACACACATGTGACGAGGTCCGTGTGTGTGTGTGACGTGGTCCGTGTGTGTGTGACAGGGTCCTTGTGTGTGTGTGTGTGACAGGGTCCTTGTGTGTGTGTGTGTGACAGGGTCCTTGTGTGTGTGTGTGACAGGGTCCTTGTGTGTGTGTGTGACGTGGTCCGTGTGTGTGTGTGTGACGTGGTCCGTGTGTGTGTGACAGGGTCCTTGTGTGTGTGTGTGTGTGACAGGGTCCTTGTGTGTGTGTGTGACAGGGTCCTTGTGTGTGTGTGTGACGTGGTCTGTGTGTGTGTGTGTGACGTGGTCCGTGTGTGTGTGACAGGGTCCTTGTGTGTGTGTGTGTGACAGGGTCCTTGTGTGTGTGTGTGACAGGGTCCTTGTGTGTGTGTGTAACAGGGTCCGTGTGTGTGTGTGTGACAGGGTCCATGTGTGTGTGACGGGGTCTGTACCTGTTGAAACGTCGCTTCCTCTAAACCCAAACGTCTGAACTCAGCGATGATCGACCTGAGGAACATCTGCTCCTGAACAGACGCCGACCTGAAGCACAAACACACAACACACACAACGTCACACAAAGATACAACACACAACACACACAACGTCACACAAAGATACAACACACAACACACACAACGTCACACAAAGATACAACACACAACACACACAACGTCACACAAAGATACAACACACAAACACACACAACGTCACACAAAGATACAACACACAACACACACGTCACACAAAGATACAACACACAACACACACAACGTCACACAAAGATACAACACACAACACACACAACGTCACACAAAGATACAACAACACACAACACACACAACGTCACACAAAGATACAACAACACACAACACACACAACGTCACACAAAGATACAACACACACACACACACGTCACACAAAGATACAACACACAACACACACAACGTCACACAAAGATACAACAACACACACACACACAACGTCACACAAAGATACAACAACACACAACACACACAACGTCACACAAAGATACAACAACACACAAACAACGTCACACAAAGATACAACACACACAAACACACACAACGTCACACAAAGATACAACACACAACAACACACAACGTCACACAAAGATACAACACACACACACGTCACACAAAGATACAACACACAACGTCACACAAGATACAACAACACAACACACACAACGTCACACAAAGATACAACAACACACAACACACACAACGTCACACAAAGATACAACAACACACAAACAACGTCACACAAAGATACAACAACACACAACACACACAACGTCACACAAAGATACAACACACAACACACACAACGTCACACAAAGATACAACAACACACAAACAACGTCACACAAAGATACAACAACACACAACACACACAACGTCACACAAAGATACAACAACACAACACACACAACGTCACACAAAGATACAACAACACACACAACACACGTCACACAAAGATACAACAACACACACACACACAACGTCACACAAAGATACAACACACACACAACACACACAACGTCACACAAAGATACAACACACAACACACACAACGTCACACAAAGATACAACAACACACAACACACAACGTCACACAAAGATACAACACACACACACACAACGTCACACAAAGATACAACAACACACAACACACACAACGTCACACAAAGATACAACAACACACAAACAACGTCACACAAAGATACAACAACACACAACACACACAACGTCACACAAAGATACAACACACACACACACACACACAACGTCACACAAAGATACAACACACAACACACACAACGTCACACAAAGATACAACAACACACAAAGATACAACAACACACAACGACACACAAAGATACAACAACACACAACACACACAACGTCACACAAAGATACAACAACACACACGTCACACAAAGATACAACAACACACACAACGTCACACAAAGATACAACAACACACAAACACACAACACACACAACGTCACACAAAGATACAACAACACACGTCGTCACACAAAGATACAACACACACACACACAACGTCACACAAAGATACAACAACACACAACACACACAACGTCACACAAAGATACAACACACAACACACGTCGTCACACAAAGATACAACAACACACAACACACACAACGTCACACAAAGATACAACATCACACAAACACACAACACACACAACGTCACACAAAGATACAACATCACACAAACACACAACACACACAAAGATACAACAACACACAACACACACAAGACACAACGTCACACAAAGATACAACACACACAAACACACAACGTCACACAAAGATACAACAACACACACACAACACACACAAAGATACAACAACACACAAACACACAACGTCACACAAAGATACAACAACACACAAACACACACAACGTCACACAAAGATACAACACACACACACACACAACGTCACACACAACAGATACAACAACACACACAACGTCACACAAAGATACAACAACACACACACACACACACACAAACATACAACAACACACAAAGATACAACAACACAACAAACACACAACACACAACGTACACAACACACACACACACAACACACACACGTCACACAAACAACAACAACACACACACAACGTCACACAAAGATACAACAAACACACAACACACACAACGTCACACAAAGATACAACAACACAAAACACGTCACAACAAAGATACACAACACACAAACACAACGTCACACAAAGATACAACAACACACAACACACACACAACACACAACACATACAACACACAACACACACAACGTCACACAAAGATACAACACACAACACACACAACGTCACACAAAGATACAACAACACACAAACACACACAACACACACACACAACACACGTCACACAAAGATACAACAACACACAAACACACAACGTCACACAACGATACAACACACACAACGTCACACAAAGATACAACAACACAACACACACAACGTCACACAAAGATACAACATCACACAAACACACAACACACACAACGTCACACAAAGATACAACATCACACAAACACACAACGTCACACAAAGATACAACAACACACAACACACACAACGTCACACAAA